GACATCTCTATTCCCTGTTTCAGTGCCCTGTGCCCCCCAGAGTATGGACAGTCAAGCACAGCCATTGTGGGCAGCCCAGGGCGGTGACATGGGGCAGCCAGGAGGTCTCTGCTGTCCAGGTCCTGGTTTCCAGCCCCAGCCTGCACTGGCTCACCCCACAGCCCTCACGGGCATCATGCCTCTCCTCCCCCCACCAGCTGGTTGGGGTGGGCGCGAAGTGCCTCTCTGTGCTCCTGGTCGGAGGAAGGGGATCTTGGGCATGGTCCTTCTGTCCATGCCTGGACTTGGTGGGTGTGGTGTCTGTCTTTTCTTTCAGGCTGGCAGATGGCAAGCTCTCGTTGAGTCCTCACTTAAAGGGCAGCCTGGTCTGGGGCTACAAGCAGGGCCGGGCACCCTGGGTCCGAGCTGCAGCTTCCCCTGACCCCTGGGAGAGGTTCTGGAGAGCATGGGCTGGAGGCCCTCACATTCACAGCCAGGCCTCTCTCGCTGCTGCTTCCTGGCAGGCACTTCCCTGGTCCAGCACCTGATGACCGTCCTGATCCGCAAACACAGCCAGCTCTTCACCTTGAGGACCACAGAAGGGCCAGCCTCCCCACACAGGGGCCCCCCGTGCACCGTGGGATGGGGCTCAGAGGAGGTCACCAGGGACAGCCAGCCAGAGCCCGGCAGCCCCGGCGCCCCCGGCCTGCCCTCGCACAGGACCTCTTCTCTGGACGGGGCGGCCGTGGCGGCGCTCTCCAGAACCTCTCCTACTGGCCTGGGGAGCCGACGCGGCCCCGCTGCCACCAGCCCTGGGAAGAAGGTGCAGACTCTGCCCAACTGGAGGTCCTCCTTCCGGCAGTTGGGGTCCTGGTCCGGGAGCCCGAAGGTGGGCAGCGCATCCCTGAAGGTACCCATCATCTCCTCCGGAGGGAACTGGCTCATGAACGGCTGTCCTCCCTCCGCGGCCACTGCCGGGCCTCCTCGGGAGACTGGCTCAAGGACTCAGGCTCCGAGCAGAGACTCTCT